ATGGGATACAGTCTTTCACAAACTGCTCCAGTGTGGGGTCCTTCCTATGTGGTACAGTCCTTCAGGATAAGTCTGCTCCACCATGGGTCTTCTACAGGGTGCAGTTTCTTCAGGGAATATCTACCTGCTCCACCAAGGTCTCCTCCATGGGCTGCAGGGGAATCTGCTCCCACACATGGAGCAGCTCCTCCCCCTCCTTCCTTACTGACCTTGGTGTTCACAGGGTTGTTTCTGACACTTTTTCCCCTTGCTCTTCACTGCTGTGCAACATTTTCCCCTTTCTTAAATATGTTTCCCAAAGGTGCCACCATCTTCGCTGACAGGCTCAGCTGTGTCCTGCGGGGGTCAGTTGGAACCAGCTGTGTCCAGGGCAGTCCCCCCTGCTGCCAACACCTTGCCACCTGTAGCCAGTACACCATTAAAGGGAACAATGTTTCTGCTCAGTGTTTTTCCAATAGTTTGAATTTAGTGGATGAGAATTGCTGTCTGTCTACAAGCATCTTGATCCATGAATGGCAACAATTTAAAAAATATATGCTTCACTGATGATGTGATAGTTCATTGATGATAGTGTCAAATGCTTTTTGAATATGAATAAGTGGATTTCTGGTTAATATCCTTGTGACTTTTAATGTGTGTGAACAACTGCAGGAATTAATGATGGAAGCACGGAAGCTGCCATGACTTTACTTGCAATGGGTGATCCTATGTTCCAGTTAAAAACAAGCACTGAAGGTATGATTTGATTTATGGGACAAAGCCTTGCTTGTACTTTCTGGGTCCACCTAAGGGATGGAGCAGTGGCTGCAAAGCTCTTCCACATGCTGCTGCATAGCAGGAGGTCAGGAGTCTTTTATGCTTTCAAAAGTAGATTTGCTTAGATATTAGATACTGCCAACTTAGATACTACCAACTAGATACTACCAAATTAGATACTGCCAAATTAGATACTACCCTTACTAGATACTGCCAACTACATCACTGTGCTGGAAAGATGTTTCTGAGACCTGTTTTAGGAAGGACATGTTTGAATTAATCCGGTCACATAAATTGGACAAAAGAAGGAATCAGGCTTAAATGACCATAACTATCAGTGGTCTTTTCAGACCATTAACCTGAAGCATAGCTTTTTCCACCTAACTAGCTACAACCTGAAATTACCTGGTTTTAGTCTACTTTTTGATAGACTCTTATTTAGAATTTATTATCTGCTTTCATTAGTTAAATGTTAGTTTCTGCATTCTTACTATCAAAAGCGTGATCTTAGGACTGCATTTACCTGGGATTTGAATTTGCATCTTTGGAGAATGCAGGCTTTGTTAAATGAGGTTTGAAGTTGAACATCTGTAAAGTAGCTTTATGTACATGCCAAACCCAAGTCTCTTATATTCTGCTTTTCTCTTCTGTTTATTGTTTTAACCAGAATGGACACACGTGTTACCTGCTCAACATGAGTTGGAGATGGCCAATAGCCTTGTAACCCATGCCTACTGCAAACAAAATAGAACTCCTAGTCAGTATTTACTTTCTTCAGACACTTCTGCTAAGGAATTGATCCCTTCTGAGGATGGAAGCAACATTAATGTAGAGGATCAAAGCACTGGCACAAGAATAGGTGTCGAAGAGTATTTTGAGAAAAATGCTACGGATACCAGGTTAAATTACTACTTCATTTTCTTTAGGGAGAGAGATCCTCTGACGCGGCTTACTTTTGCTAGGCTCCTTCTGGCATTTTTATTGAATTGCAAGCAGTCTTGCTTTAGCGAAGGTTTCTCAGTTTATGTAATTTGGTATGTAATCTGGAAAAGCCCTCTTGTCTCTTTCTTACGACTTCTATGGGATGTTGGTGTATAATTTTGGGGATGTAGAACTTGTTCTTCACTGCTAAAGTTAAGTTCACCCTGATGGGGGAGAAAAGAATATTCAAACTTAGTTGGTATGGATCACTGTTAATTACCAAGCTCATTTTCCCAAAGTACTTTACAGCTAATCAGGCCAAGGCAAATTGCTTAAGTGTCACTGCTGCTGTGGGATATAGATCAAAGATTTAGAGCAAAGGCATGTCAAGGAACCAGTTGATCTTCTATCACTGTGTTTTTTAATGCTTTGGTTTTTAATTTTGTTCAAGCATTTGTGAATGTTGAAACAGCCTGATGGAACACCTTTTCAGAAAAAATCTGCTAGTGATCATGTTGTATTATTTGAAAGACTATTTAACTTGTTGATGGCTTGAAAAACTATCAGATTGTACTCCTCTGAAAAATTATAATCAAAGATATTTTACTCTAAGTCCAGTGGTTCTTTTATTATATTATTAACCAGAGCTTACTACCATGTGATCAGTGTTAGATTTCTGATCTTCTCATGTTTTTTAAATATTTCAATTATTCATTTTTTTCTGTAGGTAGGGAACATCCTGGTTTGCAGTATACCTGCCTGTTCCGATTCCCAGATAATCTTTATTTTCTGTTCTGCTAAATAGTCGTCTGTCTCCTCTGCCAGCTGCAGCCTTTATTTCAGCTCTTCATCTCATCTACTCCATCTCTCTTCTCTTCTCTGCACAGTGATCTTTGCTGGAAGTACTAATTTCATCTCACAACTAACTGTCAAAAATCAAGAACTATGCTGATGCCAATTTTCCTTTTTACTTGCAGTGATAGCTCTTTGCCTACGGTGAATAGTATGAGACTGACAAGAGGCAGACTCCTGACGCCTGAGCCAGACTTTGGAGTATTGAGGTCCAACGAAAACATAATTCAGAAGTCACTTAATACAAATGTACTTGTGGAACAACTAGAGCAAGTTCAAAGTGGTAAGCCTGTTTCTTATCCTAGGGTTCTGAAAATAGTTTCTTCTGATGGATTTACATCTCTTTATGAAATAAAACTAAGCTGAAAGTAGTCTTCACTTTCGGTTCATGTTCACAGATGATGCATCACCACTGTAACATAGGGCATGTATTTATGGTATAGTTTTATACATAAGTATACCTTTCAGTATAAAATTAAATGAAATAAATAGCAGTTTTTCTTTGCAGGTCTTAAAATTACCTGGAAAGCCCTTAAATTACTGAACTGCCGATTACAGATAGACAGTACAATACAATGCACTTTTTTCTATTATTACTATTTTCCCTTCTATTAAAACCAGAAGGGGACATTTACAGAACTGTTTTGGTATTCTTAAAGCAGTTACAAAAAAAGGTGGTCTTCAAACTCTTAATTATCTTCATATCACTGGCAAAATGCACAACGTACCAAAGGCAAGATGAGGTATGCGTATGTCTCATTTAAGACATGTGTACATATACAGTAAAATTGTTAATAATTTTGTAGTGTGTTTATATATACACATCTACATGTACATACATTTTAATATACAAAAGCTTGTATGTAAAAATTATATATATATGCACATGCACACACACACAAAATAATTTTTATTCTTATATACCGTAGAGTCTACAACCCTGAGAGGTACTGCAGAAATGCAGAAGGTGGAACTAGAACAGGTCAGACCAGCTGCAGGTGCTTCTTCAGTTCTTCATGATTTTGCAGTTAGAAGTATGGAACTTTCCAAGTAAGTAGACAAAACTGAGAGGTAGGAAGAATCATCAGTTAATACTGACTTTGTTCCCAAAGTCTCTTAAAATATGCAGCTGAAGTGCATGTGTAGTATGCGTCTGTGATGGAAACAGTGTGCTTACAGATACTGTGTGTGTTTATGCATGTAAGTGTACAGTTTAGACTTCTATTTTTAAGGTTTTTCTCTCTTGCATGTTATCCTACAGCTTTTGGAGGTAAAACATTAACTTACGTTTGCTGTTTCAGAACTTAGTAATCACCTTGCTGCTTAATTGTCTCCCATGAAACTGTGTCTGAAAGGAAATGTTAAAGAGTTGATCAATTTGGAAATGTTAATGAGCTTGTAAGGCTTCCTGCTTGGTCATGCTTTTAGTAGTAAAGTCTCAATTAGTGGTGTTAGGGAGGCTTTTTCCTGAAATACTTTATGTAGACTTGTTCAAAGATTATGCATTTTGTTTAGTAGAATGATGCAGTTTTTAAACAGGTGCCCTGTTTCTCTGTAACTACATAAGCTTCATATTAAATAAATAGTTGTACAGAATTTACCCCATGCACAGGGTATCTTCAATTGGTTTCAAATTAACTAGATATATACCTTGCAGAACAGAGATGACAGATGCTCGTGGAAATTCAGGAGATTTAAGACCTGTAACTGCATCACCAAAACCTGAAAAATCTCACCTTGGACTAGAGGATTATCCAAATAAAACTTCTGTGGATGGACTTCCTGGGCAAAATCCTTGTCCTCCTGAGCACAATATATGCACAATCAACTTTACTCAGGTAAAGAACTTAATTTCATTACAGTCTGGAAGTGCCCAGTTTCTGAAATTCTGTAAAGGAAGAGATTTTCAGTGCAAATGTACTCACGCACTTTAAAGACTTGGTACTTCAGCTGGTGAATGAAACTTTTTTGCAAAGGCATAACCAAACTTAATCTTTCAGACAAACTTAATCTTAGCAAGCCTCAGTTCATAGCATTTCGGCAATAAATGATTACTATATTAGCAAAATATATATTCAGCAAGTGATTACTATATTAGCAAAATTTTGAGCAATTTTAAAGAGTTTTGATGGAAGAAGTTACCTAGGACTCATGTATTCATTCAGTCTGACCTCTAACTGTTATATTTGTTTAAATTAAAACTAAGTTAAAATGTAAGTGCAGAACACAGCATTTTCATTGTCACCTTCATTTGCTTTGTTTAAAACAAACTTCATCCTTTGCTATA